AGTCACCATCCATTATTACTATATCAGAACGCCTAGCTTTTTGGAGCTGGTCCGAAAGCTTTCTGTAAAACTCGTCTTTAACCTCGTCTGCACTGCAGTCAGTGGGGGCATAGGCAGATACGACGGAGAGGCAACGGCGAGTGTCCCTATCCTTACGAGTCCTTACTGACCCGTTCAGTCGGACAACGCACAGGCGACTGTCTACTGGGATCCATCCTAGGAGGGATTGTTCAGCTCTACGACTCAATGATATGCCTACGCCAGCAAGACCCCTGGAAGCAGCATCAGGGCTTCCAGATACAGGAAGAGTATATCTAGCTGCTTCTTTATTTTGACGAGGTGAAATCGGATTAATAATTTTACTAGGATCCTGTATGCGCGTTTCCGAGACGCAGTATACATCGATGGCACGAGATTCTAAAGTCCTAGCTAAGTAAGCCTGTTGCCCTATTTGACACAATGTCCGTACATTAAAAGCTCCAACATATTGTCTACAATGGGGTTTCAAGAGACCAGGAATGACGTTTCGTGAACTCGCTTCGTCTGCATTAGCGGTGCAGTGAGAAAAGGGACTGTGAGCAGAGTTCGTTGGGGAGAGAGGAGAGGTGTGTGTTGGTGTAGGAAGGATTTTATTTCGACCAATTTGGTCTCGTGTGCTGTTACGGGTATGAGGGCGGTTGTCACTTCCCGGCTGCCCACACCGTGGAAGGTTGTTTCTTGAGGAACCTGAAAAGGAAGATAGATTAGTGTTGGTCTTGGAGACCTGGGAGCGTGACTGCAGAGTCCAAAGGACAACTGCTTGAGGCCGGTCACGCACGGCCTTCTTATTAAAGGTTTTTTGAGGATTAGCTCCGCTCTTAAAGGCCCTTAGTGGGCACCCTTACCCAAGGAGACGCAAATCCGTGAGGTAGGGTGAGGTTTGACATTTTTAGGGTCGGCCTATTCTAACCCCTTCTTTCCTCGTGAGAAGGCAGCATCGCTGCAGATGCTGGTTGTCCGAGGGAAACACCTTACTGCTGTCACATCCCTCTGCAGTCAGCAGTACGACTCCGCCTTCAGACCATGAGTAGCTTCTTTTAGACCCATCGTTCTCCAATCGGCCTATGTGGCATGGTAGAACCTACAGTAACATATGTTCCAGCCAATATAGCTCGGTTGGGTCATCACGATAGTCAAGCCCGACCACCACGTCTAGGTAGCACCTACGGTCGGGATTCTTGAGTAGTGAAACCAACCAATCATTGATCATTTGTTTACTTAACTAAAAAGAAAATATTTAAGTGGTGAACAACTATGTATATATAATGTAACTTCTCATAATGACTACCGGGATTAGTTTTCTAGTCACGGAAGAAATATAGAATGTTCACTCAGTCGTATTAATTAAATCTTGTAAATACTGCTGCTTACCGATATACCCGAAACTATCCTCGTCCATTTATGACAGTCACAGATGCACATCTTGTTCAGTAAAATAATTTTGTTGCAACCACATTCATTATACGTCCTATTTATCACGCTTCTGTTTTAAATACCGATAACACATTGCACAACCTTCTTTCATATTTATGTATATGAATTGGTGGAAGTGTGCTAAATTTATCAACTATATTGATGAGTTATTTCTACTTGATAGAATTGTTTTGAAGAGTCTTTTAGTAGCATGTTACACTTTATCATTTCTTATATGGTAAAATTTGCATGTAAATTATGTTGAGAATTTACTAAGATTATTTTTAATATTCTCAAAAAGACAATAGATGACCTCAAATCACTCTTGACCAAATTAGTTTCTTTGAGAAAATCAATAAACTGTATATCATCATTGTCCCCTTGTTTACTTGACGGTTTGTTAAATTCTTTCAGAAAATGTTTGTAGTGCCTCCACATAAACTTGAGTTCGCTCATATTTAATTTGATTAAGCCTTTTTGATTATCTTATGTAACCAAGCTATTTGTATAGAAACAACCCATATGTATAAGTGGTAATTTTTATTTTCTGATTTGTATGAGCTTGTACGACTGAGCATTGCTTACACCTACGTGCTTACTCATCCTTTTCGCTTTAACGGTAATCTCTTAATATCCATTCCTATGACCTCACATGACTTGTCTCGCTTGCTCTTGACCTTGTCAATCATTCGTCGCTTTTATTCATGTGTGTGCATGCCTATTTCGCTTGTCAAATGTCTGTCTTATTTTTGTAATGTGTCGATGTCACTGATATCTAGGACTTGAAATGAATATCGAATGCTTGCTGAGAGTAGTATGGTGCAGATTTACATAATTTGTAGGCTTTGCTCGTTACAGTCGAGCCACCATTATAAAATGGGGGAATGGATATAGCTGTTTTGTCTGAATATGGAACTTCATTGCAATGCTTAAGAGTTGGATGCGGGACTTGAAGGTCTGTGGTGGAATTTTGATTGTGAACTGCATATACTAGAACAAAATAGCTGCTCCTTTCTCCAACGTTTTCAATGTTTTTCAGCTGAGATTAGTTTATGACAATAACAGCCTACAAATAAATCCGTATGTAATGATTAGGCTCATCTCGTTGTTTAGTAGATTGCCTCAATGTAGCCATTATGACGTAAGTTTACATAGACTAGATAGAATGTGGCTGCCAGCATAAATTTGTCATAGTGGTTGTAATGGAGACAGTCGTCTATGCCAGCCAAATCTAATCAAATTTCTCTCAAAATCATCATCGATCTGATAAACTTACAAACAATCGTTTACTTTACGTTTACGACCGGTTGACCAGTGGTCGATTCTTGATGGACACTGCAGCAGAAATAGGCGTCATGCCTGCTGTGAGCGATGAAAGACCGAATACTGATATTGCACTAACGCATGAAACAGCAAATAACTCTGACATAAAACATTTGCGAAGTGGAAATCAACCTCCGAATTGTGTTAGAAATACTTCATCATTTTTTGGTGGTTCATCAAAGCAGATGTATCGGTGCCTATAGTCGGTATTGATTTGCTGAAGGAATTCGACTTGTCAGTAGACTCTTGATAAAACCAGCTCTCGAATGGAGACCGCACAATAATGATGAAAGCGATAATCGCCGATCATGTATCTATGAACTATGTCAAAGGACAGAGGAGATGCATATAAGTCGTTTCCAAATGAGTACGCTGATTTGACGAGGCTATCATACGACAGCACTGATCTTAAACACACAGTGCAGCGCCATATTTTAACGGAAGGTCCATCAAGTGAGTCAAGACCGAAATAGTTGAACAAGAATCCGAAAAGTCGATGAAACTTGGTGTTATAAGGTTATCCAGTAGTCACTAGGTATCTCCGTTGCATATGACTCAAAAAAGGATGATGAGGTCCGACCATGTGGAGATTATAGAACACTTAGACAACAAACTATGGCAGACACCCTACACCCACGACACTACTAACGACATAGTATGCCTCATGGCCATTTCTCCGCCTGTAGAGTCTTCAGGGCTACCGTTCTCACATCAAAAATCCTTTCTCTTTTATCTCATCTATCATTCTGCTGTTGTACAAAACGCCTTACTCTCATTCGTTCTCTGATGTGTTTTCTTATACAATACTTTACCACCTACTTCATGACAGTCAGGGTTGTTCGTGCATATATATATATACAATTTAGACGAACATCAGAATGATGCTAAACTATTCACTGATATGTGACCAACATCTTATTACTGCAAAAGCATACTGATAACGAAAGCTGTTTACTACACTGCCTCTTTCATGCAACATTTCTAGCTCACAAAATCTAATACACCAACCATTACGTGAGTATATCAGTTCTAGTGATGTCATTTGAAGTTGGATATTTTTTGTCGATTTTCAAACGATGATTCACTGCTTCTAACTCCTCAAACAATTTGAAAGGTTACGAAACTGTTTTAAATAACAATGCATAACCGATAGGAAAACAATATGACCGTTTCTCTTACAATGACAAATTTCCAGTAGCCACCACCCTTTTCTTCTTTATTCCCTTTCGGTAACTTCTTACTTTAAACCAATTTATTCATCGTGTTCCAGTGACCTTGATGACTATATTTCAGATTTACCTTATTATTTTACAAAATCCATAATTAGTAAACATGAAACAATTCCTATGGGAACCGTAACTAATACAGTTTTGAAGATTCTATAGAAAATTTACAAATAGTTTGTGGTGTGTAACAGTTTCGTGTTATTTATTCACTTGAATAACTATACATCTATGCAAGTCAATGCTAATTTAAACAGTTATCAAACAGGACACTCATATATAGAAGAATTCAAATTACCGTATCCTGTATTCTGAGTGTATTGCATTATTTTGTAATTATCCTGTATGAATTATAACTTGAATTTTTATTGAATGAAAATCGATACACTGTCAAAGAATTAGTACTATCAATAAGATTTTAATCGACTGGAAATTGGATGACCAACTAACTGATCACCTTCAAACGTTTGTGACATTCTGTTGTGTTTAGTTTGCACTGATACTGCGTGTAACTCCGCCAGTAGACCCTTCAGAACTACTGCCGGTCCCAAGTCCAGATAGGGGAGGAGGGTTGGTTGCGCAAAAATGCTGACACGAGACCAAATCGGTCAAAATCAAATCCTTTCTCACCGCCGAAATGCAATATGTTGCTTTAGGATCGGCTTGTATCGGCACCTGAACTAGTGTGATAGGGGAGCAAATCAGTTGAGTGTGTAGACCGCTTCACTTATCTGCGGAGTCTCATCAGTACCCATTGGCCTGGTGACTGATATTTTGCTTTGCCTATAAATTATCTAGAAACCGAAAGTTTACGGTGTTTTTTGAAACTTAAGAATATTTCATTCACAATTAGTAGTAGCCCAAAATAAAACTAAGTTGTTGATCACATTTGTATCGACTGAGTAAAAAGCTGACATTAATTTCAGACCATCACTTTATGGTAGCCAATGTGAAATTGGAGTTGAAATGTCTCAGGACAACTGAAGAAACAGCATTACAAAATTTTACTATGATTACTTATTTATTCATTTATTTGACATATAATCATTGTTATTATTTTTGATTCCTTCAAAATCACATGTACAGTAGTATTCTATGGATCCTACATTCAAAATGACTTTGCAGTGATGCAGTACAGACAAACAAATCACGACTGTTCGATTGTTAGTAGATGAAAGTTTCAAGGGATAATTAGTCATCAATTAATAATATATTACTAATAAATTATTTTTTTTATTCACATATGAACTACATGTGGAAGAATATAAAGTGAATTGTAAAAGTAACAATTCAATTAAATGAAAAAGAAGAGGAAGAAGAAGAAGAAGTACCAGTAAAAAGAAGAAAATACAAGATAACGAAGAAGAAGTACAAAAAAAAACAATAATTCGGCGCATACAACATGTTGTACATGAACAATATATATAATAAACAAATTTTTTTTATCCTATACATACGAACCAGTCAATGTTCAATGTAACAAAAACAGGATGATGTGGTGATATGTGCAACAACAACAACAATAACAAAGATAATCGAGTTTAAAATTCTTCTGTACTTAAATGACGATATGCCACTTTACTATTCATATCAATTCGACTAATACGAGAACGTGAACAACAGCCACTGTATATATTATATAACATATGCTAGAAAAATAAATATATATATGTAATCAAATACACACGGTTAAAAGAACAAATAGATCAATAAATCAATAATGATAACAATTAAAAACGAAACAATGACAATGATCTATTATTGTACAGAGCCATTTCATTCAATGACCACCACCTTATGTTAGTTAACATTACGGAAGGATGTCAGTTGAAAAAAAAACCATTTAAAAATCAATGAGCCTTGGACATTTTTAATAGCTATCTAGTTTGATTGACAATTTTCATGTGGGGCTTACTAATCACTTCAACTGCAGTTACAATTCATTTCGGCTACTATTGATTCCTTATAGTTAACAGTTCATTTATCCAAATTGTTACATAGCGTGAAAAATATCCAATGCTATCAGTAGATAGCTATTTCATCAGTGAATCGGCTGAACGAAGTTAGAGATGTTGATTTGGACTCAGTGATAACCTTTCCTTACATGAGACCTGAAAGTTGTTGGTCCAATCTCTTGTGGATTGACGGGTGTATATTGTATTTCCCTATGACTGCTCGCACGTTGAAACCAAACATATGTACCGACTCACTTCAGGTTTCATAAAATCAGTTATTTTTAAGTGGTTCGCTTAATCCTTCAGAGTTGGTAGGTGCGATTCGTTAAATCTAATCACAATTTTAGCAGATCTTTATTTGAATTCATTAATGGAATCTAATATTTGTGGTTTAATTTAATTAGACTACTTAACCTACTGATCGTAAGGAATAAGTATTCAGAAGAATTATTGATGGACTCATTTTAAATACAGTAGTAGTAGAACATACAATAATACTATTGACTTATAACTTCATAAAAATCATTCAATCAATGTCATTTTAACACACACACACTTACACAAAATGGTTTCCAAATGCATATAATAAACACAACTAAAATGCAACAGATGACGAGAATGTAACTGATTGATACATCCGGAATATCTAAATAAGAAAATAACAAAGTGAAAAAGAATTGACCGGTAAGTATTTGGGTTGATTTATTCAACTATTCACTTTACCAATCGAAATAGAAAACACTGATTGCATTAGATAATAAGATTTGTCAGCTGAATTTACTACAATCACAAACAAACACAAACATCTTTACAATATTGAGCTGTGCGAAAAATAGTAACAAATGAATACGGGGGGAGAAATAGTGTCATTTTATTCGCATTACGAAACCGAAACTAAATGCCGTAACTCGTGTAGTTCAAACGGCTCGGATAAAAAGTCTTTGTTTGCCGATGTTATTGAATAACAAACTGTAGAGTTTGACTGAAATCGTAAATAGATTGGAGGTTACACGCTTTGCTGATAACTATCAAGGACTAATGTTTGATTATCGACTAAAGATATCAAGTAATCCATGGTTTTCTTTAGTTTAACAGCTGACACCAAACCATGAGAATGTAAGTGAATCTGTTTTCAACTAGTCTGGATTCCACCTAATCCCGTATGTTTCTCAAACTAATTCTGTAGTATAAAATTTACTGAACAATACGATGTTAAAAACTTGATACGAAATGTTTCTGGAATGGACACTAGAACCGGAAGATCAGCAGTATGAGATCCACAAAAATATACGACATGTACTACATTGTGTAGTTTACAATTTTATAAATCAATCAATCGTTGTGTCAATTGTTAAGTATGTTTACATAGTCCAGATAGTTAATGGACAAACATATTATCATATTTATATAAAAATTGTTATTGTGAATTAGAATTTATCGTTCAATTAAAAAAAATGAAAGACAAGAACGGAGACCGATTGATGAAATATGATGATATGTGTCTACTTCAGAGACCGAAACATTGACATCATATCTGTAACACGGCTTGAGATCAAAGAAAGGACGATTATCCAGAAGAATGAATGTTCTATCCGATAAAAGGACGTGCTTATACACACAGTATTAATACACAATGAACACCACAGAATGTCACAAACGAATCGACGAGATCAGTTAGTTGGTTATTCACTTTCCAGTCGATTAAAATCTTATTGTTAGTACTAATTCTTTGACAGTGTATCGATTTTCATTCAATAAAAATTCAATTATTAATTCATACAGAATAATTACAAAACAGTCAATACAATCAAAATACAGGATGTATTTGAATTCTTCTATATATGAGTGTCCTGTTTGATAACTGTTTAAACTAGCATTGACTTGCATAGATGTATAGATATTCAAGTGAATATATAACATGAAACTGCTAAACACCATAAACTATTTGTAAATTTTCTATAGAATCTTCAAAAACGGTATTAGTTACGGTTCCCATAGGAATTGTTTCATGTTTAATAATTATGGATTATGTGAAATATTAAAGTAAATCTGAAATACATTCACCAAGGTTAGTGGAAAATGATGGAGTACAAAGTTAACGAAACGGAAGAAAGAAAAGAAGTATCTCATTTTAGACAAGTGAACTTACAGTGTGTATCGTGAACTACAGTATCCATGTCACTGTGAGGTATGAACGGTTTAGATTTCTTAGATTCGGATTCGACGAAATCCTTTCTGTTGAACACATGATTTTCGTGAACCATCGGTGACTGATTGTCCTCAAAATCTTTTTCTCGCTTTTCTTCCGGGTCAGCATGTGAACCACCAGAATGGGGAGAGATTTCTTTTTGTTTGGGTTTTTCAGGATTGTCGATTTCAACACCTGTTTCCTCTTGGGAGTATGGTTCAGGTGTATTTGTTGCAGTTGTCTGTGACAAGGATTTAGCTAACTGTTCAGTAGGATTTGGAAGTCTGGTATTTAGTACTTCTTTGGAACTAAGTGTGACGTTCGATGTTGTCAAGTTTGGCTATTAAAACTTATTGTAACTGTTTTGTAACCTACTTGAGGTGTTACATTAACGGATGTGGAAACATACTCCAACGTAGAAAAATTGGATTTATGGGTTGATGACTAACAGGAATATCCATAAATAAAGCTTAATGTTGCTTACATTTACAAGGTTTTTAGTAGTTTTTTTCATACCAACTGAAGAACCATTGGGTGGATTCTCAGATTCATCTTTTAGAGCACATATGTAGTGGAATAGTATCCAAGTTAGTTTGATCGCCAAACAATACTTCACTATTAAGGAAAACAAATTGTCATTATACACAACTATTTATTTTATGACACAAAGAAGAGAATCAGTTAGAGATAAAACCGAATAGATGAGTATTAAGATTGAACTACTTCAATCATGATTCTTCTGTAGTATAACGTGCCTGTCTTGATGACCCAACCGGGCTATGTTGGTTGCAACGTATGTTACTGTAGATTCGACTGGAGAACGATGAGACTAAAAGCAGCTACTCAAGGTCTGAGGGCGAAGTCGAACCGCTGATTGTAAAAAGCAGTGAGAGCATTAAGGTGTTTCCCTCAGACAACCGGCATTTGCAGCAACCCTGCCTTATTACAAAGAAGGAAGGGGTCAGAAAACGTCAACCTTAAAAATATCACACCTCACCTTACCTAACGGATTTCCATCACCGGTGGTAAGGACATTTGAAGGGCGGAGCTAACACGTCGACTTACTACAAAAATGCCGTGCGCGGCCGGACTCAATCAGTTGTCTGTTGGGCTCTGCGGTCAAGCTCCGAGGTTGTCAACACCATAAATAACACAACTACCTTTTCAGGTTCCTCAATAAATAGCCTTTCGCAGTGTGGGAGCCGGGAAGTGACATCAACACTCATATTCGTAACACACAAGACCAAATTAGTCAGAATTGAATCTTCCCTATACTCGTTAGTAACTCTCTTACCTCACGTTCTTTTAACACCTCGCGTCGCTAACGCAAACGATTTGAGTACATGAAAGTTTATTCCTGGTCTCTTGATTCCTCGTCCTAAACCACATGTCGGCGCTTTTGATTTTTGGACCTTGTACCAAATAGGACAACAGGCCTCCTCAGCTAAGACTTTAGAATCTCGAGTCTTCGATGTATGCCACATCTCCAAACGCACATACAGAATCCGAGTACAGTGATTAAAATGACTACACCTTGTGCACATAAAAGAACCAAAGAGTCTGAACATACTGAACTATAGAAATTTTCGTTACACAACAGCCCCTTAATACTTAAGAAATAACAACTATTCATAAACCTTACTTGCACTAGTAACGCAGAGCTTACAAGTTGCGCCTTGAAAATCGTTCGTTTTTACAACAAACTGGTTTGAAGTATATAACTTATTCATTTTTGCATCTTCGTATGATTGAAAGCATCAGTACACATAGCTAAGATGTCTCAGTAGCCTTCATGCAATAACTCGAGTAAACTATATGAATTGACAGTAACCCAAATCTCTGAACCGGTTTATCTTTGCAATATCGAATATACTTTTCAAGAGTTAGTACAAACCTAATGATTTCTTTTTCTTTCTGTACAGTTCCAGGTGTTTGGTAGTATCCAAGGCATGGGGGTCTAACCACTCGACTGTCTAAATCTAGTCAGTTGGCAGTTGGTTATTAGTTTGTATGTCCCGTTGTTTGAATGGAAGCGCTTGTTCCGGGACAGTAGGGTTTTTAGATACCAGCAGCTATCACATTACCAGGCCGGTGATCAGTTATGTGCAGTGTGGAGAATAAGAAGGAGAAAATTCTAGTGCTAATAAGAGTAGGATTTCAGGACTAAGTAAATAATTGATAATTTCGTTCATTAATTGGTAGTGAAGATTGTGCGAGAGGACCAAAGTGTAAGCAAGGGAGAGGAAACAAAGATAATAGGCGAGAAAGATTAGGCTATTGATCTGAGGAGATGGCAATAATGACAACTAGCGGGTCCCAAGACATGCATCAGGTACAGCCTGTCCACGAGGTAGGTGATAATCCGTATGTGAGCACGTGTTCATCAAGTCTCTTCTTGAAGCCGTCCACTGAGGGAGGCTGTGGTCACCTGAGATGGGAGAGCATTCCAACCTGCACTGATTCTCAATGAGGAAACGTGTGCACGGACCTGAGTGTTCACTCTTTGATGCGCGAATTTTTGAGGATTGCCTCGAGGGGAATGGTGGTGGTGCACCGGTAAGATGCTGACGTTGGGATGGTTTGGCGTGCTTATTATGTTTTACGCCATGATCATATCACCTTTGAATCTCCTGTAACTCAGGGGGAATAATCCTAAATTCCAGAGTGTATCTTCGTACAGTTTTTTCTTCAACCCTACCACCTATTTCGTAACTCATCTCTTCACTCGATCCAAGAAATTTATCTCTCTGTTAAACAGAGGGTAGAATCTTCTCCGTCCGGAGATCACAAACTCCTTAGTTCGCAAGTTTTTTCTTAGTCACGAACCTAAGTAGATATTTTTGAGTGCAATTACTTTTCTAGCTAGCTTCTCCTGGAAGTGTCCCTCATCGCTTCCAACTCTGACTCTGCATCTGTTTCTCAATGCCAAGTAGGGACTTCGGTTAGATTAACTCACAGAGACCTTCCATTTATGTCAGACTTTTCACGTGTAGGCAGCGTTTAATGCCTCTCTTTTCGTTGTGTAGTAGAACATTCTAATTGATTTCTCTCACTGTCTGACAGTAATTAACAGCTGTTAGCCCACGCCATTCCTATGGCCATGGGGAGTCCAGAAGATGCCCTATCATGGTCTTGTAGTTTGCCCTAGTGTAGCAAGGTAGCCATATTAAACATGGCTGCACTATGGTCACTACTGCCTGTTGGTGAACATAGGCAATCTCGACTAGAATGTAATAGTTTGTTAACAAATAATTCAAGTTTGAGGGTTTTCCATCCTTACTTTATCTGGTGGCGCTACACACGCTCATTTTGGAAATTCAAATGTCTGTGACAAATAGCTTTTGGAACAAATCCGTGGGAGTCGCTCCCCGCTTGTTGAGATATAGGTACGGAGCTTCGAAATCTCCGGTTAAGAGTACTTGATCAAACTCCAAGAGTTTTAGTAGTAATGCTGCCTTGTGCTATGATATTGTCTTTCAAATGACTGACAATACCTATATCGCCACTTCACATTTTGCTTTCTGTTCCTCATCCAATCAAATGAATGTCATGCCTTACAGGTCAACTTCGTCACCGGCAATGTTGGGAGGTAGCCTTGTTCCAGTTGCGATTGTGATGTTTACATCTATCCTAGAACATATATTCCTGATTTCTTCCAGTTCGCCACTCAGTCCTCTGACTTTGTTATAGGAAACTTCATGTTTTATCTCACTAACTATTGCACCTCTGCAGAAACAACCGTTCTCGGATTACTAAACAAGTCTATCAAACCGGGTTGACCAGTCCATTGGTAACTGGCTGATGTGGGCTTTTTGCTTATATATGGTGTAGTCAATCGATGAGACCCTGGTCTTCGCGTTTTCTATGTTAGGTTGTTCATCAGGGTCAACTGATACAAGCGTGCAATTTATTAGGCTTTTGCTGTTGTTGTTTCACTTATCTGGATTGACTCACCCAACATCTAATGGGACGAGAAATCACGCTTAATTGCTGCACGAAGCTTGAATTGTGAGATATGACGGATAAGGCAGCCAGCAGAGGTTCTGACTGTCATCGTAGTGTGAAGTTCTATGCTACGTGAAAGTCATTAACATTGTTGCATATCATGTGCGTGAGCTTCGTTCTAGCTACCACCAAACTGTTCAGGCACTCCGTGAAAAAGTATACTGGGTGTCAATTGATGTTCTGGCAGCTGCTCGTACTAGCTGTGGTTTGTCGTGCTTGACTCCGATTAAGTAAGACAGACTAACTGGTGTCTGAGATTTTCGGGGTACTTCTTTGACAATCTGTGTCAAGTCTAAAGTTACCCGCAATGGAGGTGCTTACCTTGAGCTACATTCTGACCTTTTAGCAGATGGCATAGTTTGGTCGGTGTACGGATCATTCCAAGCATTGCGTACATTCTATCCCACTTAATTTTATCAAGAACGGTTTTATTATCCGGTAAACTGGCCTTCGACACTTTAACATTAAATAAGATAAGTAATTTTTGTCTAAGGTCCTTGTTCCTGGCTTATATCGTTTTTGGAGCCATGATGTTGACATTTCCTCTCCATACACTCGTCCACTGCTCCGTACTCTTGACAGATACTGGGGTATTTACAGACCTGTTCAGTCGATCTGTTTTGGGCGACTCCAGTACACTGATGGGGATTGACCTGTTATCTTGGTGCGGCTTTTTGATTCTCTGTTTTTAATCTTGATTGTACACAGCAGATAAACACACCAGGACTACGGACAGGGTGACTTAGCCCGAAGTGTCGCGGTACTGCAGTATCCAGCATCAGATCAATGTGCCTTTGTTATTTGTTCTAACAATTTAATCCGTTTTATTCTCCTCTATTCATAAGATGGTTTGCCCATTAATTATCTTACTGTTGACTAGCCTTTATTAACCTACATTAGTGCGGGTGTACAGTTAGTGTTCTAATACAGAACAGGAAATGCTTGAGTAATCCTGTAGTGAAGGAGAACACAGGTGAGGACAACCGAATTGTATTTATCGCAAATTACAGAATTAATCAGTAAAATAGGAAAATCATATTGTAAACGGTTAATTTGCAGAACATCAATCCATCATCAATCCATTGTCTGACATTTCACTATTCATGCGTTTCATACAAATTCCATTGTGTTCCCACTCTTCCTTTCTTGATCTTACCCCATCTACTGCTGCCAGACATTCTGTTTACACTCACGTCATATACTACTTATAAGTAGCGCGCACCACACTCGTCCCCCCTTTAATAAGCTGTCGTCGTAATCTTTCTGATCGCCGTACCGCTGTCTTCTTCGGTGCTTTCCGTGACTCACACACTTGATAATCTTGAAACCACCTTTGCAGTTGACTGGCATTTACACACTTCTGCTTCTGTCTTCCCTCCGGATCGTGTACACCGCGCCGCGTCTCTCCGTTATAACGTACGGTCCGTCCCACTTTGGGATCAGCTTTCCCCACCTTGATCCCCCTGCTATGCTACTTTTTTGTTCTCTACACTTTACTAGGTCCATCACTGCAAAAGGTTTCCACGTTCTCCTCTGTTGTTCCGCCTTCTTTATGTCTGATATTTGTTTCTTTCCCATGTTCCTGATTGCCTCCCTTCTCTTTTTTCTTAACCTTGTTGTTGTCCATTTCTGTTGTTGTAGCCAGTTCTTATTGTGCATTGGAAGTCGCGGTTGTCTTCCATACATGAGCGAGAAGATTGATTTCTTGGTTGTTCCTTGTATGGAGGAACGATGCACCAGCAAAATCAATGGTAACTCTTTCTCCCAATCTCATCCTTTAGATGCTAACCATTCCTTTAACGTCCGGTTGTTTCTCTCTGTAAGCCAGTTTGTCTAAGGATGATACGGTGTAGTTCGTATCCTCTTGATGCCAAAATGTTTTAGACGGTCTTTAAACTCGTCACTTTCAAAACAGGGATCCTGGTCAGTTAATATCATTTTTGGTATTCCGTGGCACGCTACAATATGCCGGATCACCTCTTCGGTCACTGTTCTTGCCCGCTGGTCTGCAATGGGTATGGAATCTATCCAACGTGTAGCATGCTCCGTCATCACTAGCGGGTACCTGTTACCGGTCGCCGTCTGTGGAAACGGTCCCATTATATCCACTGACCATAGATCACCGACTACGGTTACTGGGATCGACTGTAACGGCGGTTGTGTGTATCTATCGCTTTTCACTAGTTGATACTGCTGGCAAGTTAACACGTATTGAGCCACATCGTCTCTCATGCCCGGCCAGTATGCACTTTGTCGTAATAAATCCGTTGTTCTTGCAATGCCTTTATGCGCTACCTGGTGACACTCGTTTATCATCTTACGCCACCAGTCTTTCGGGGTTGCAGCCACCCAATTCTTGTCATCGTCCTGCCAGGTCAGGACTCCATAAGTGTTCACTCTCAGTCGTTCCTTTTGCCGAAGTAACATTATTACCTCCTTGTCCATCGTTCGTTTGTCTACGTCTGCTCCTTCTTTTGTCACTCTGATTACCTCTCGAAGGTTCGGGTCAGCTTTCTGTTGCCGGATGAGTGCTAATTGGTCTCCCTCTAAACTACTCACCGCGTATTCTGTCAATGGAAGGTCAGCTTCCATGTCTGATCTTCACAAGTAATCCGCCATTACGTTTTCCTTTCCTGGAAGATGGCCGATACCGAAGTCGTATTCTTGCAGACGTATCATCCACCATCATCAGCCTGTCTCAATACCGCACCTATACCATGATCAC